CTCCCTCGAGGTGCTTTCGTTAGTGGCTCCCCGTGAGGTGGTCTCCCCTATGAAAGTTGCCCTTCAGCCCTCCCTCGTCCTTCATCATCAGTCTCATCGTTACACAGATGACAGACAGATCCCGTCCTCAGGCCCGTTGCAACTTTCCCGTCCATCCGCAGAGCTTCTTCCTCATTACATCCATGCAGCCGGGCTTGTAAATGTCTCGTTTCGTTTTGGATGCTGTGTGGTGTCTTGGTAATTTCGCGAAGCGCTTTTCGTCCATCCTCTTCGTGGACATATCCCGTTGGGTCGCAGCCAAGGAAAGGTACCTTTTTGGTGTCAACCCTGCTGAGAAATACCTACCTTTAGCTTACCTTCCTAGCTGGCAGCAAATAGGTAGGTATCTCTCCTCTCCTCTCCGCTCTATTACGCTAAACCCAGGCGAGGTACCTCGTAAGTACTCCCCCAATTCGCACCTGCACCTCAGTCTCTGAATACACAACAGGGCACTCCACTGCGACTCCAACGTACTTCGTACCTACCCTGAACCTGATCCTAGCAGCTCGACATCCCAGCTCCTTCCGCGGCTCCACCTTCAGCGGCCGGTCTTCTTTCTGCTCGCCCTTCTCAGCCCATTCCATTCCACTCAGTCACCCTCCGCTACAACCGACACCAAGACAATCCCTCGTCTGTCGGCCAAACTATTCTCTCTTGTGACGAATCTTCCAATCCAATTTTTGTTCTGTCCTCCACGCTCATTTCGACTGTCGGCGCATTTTGGCTCCCCTCAATCCCACAGCCATTCTCGCCTATCACCCCCCCCCGAGTACCGTTTGCAAGTCACCGCAAATCCCTGCTGCTGCCGACGAAAAGCAAAACGAAACGCATCTTTGGGGAAATTGCGGATACCCAGTCAACCGCCGCGACCTTTCCTCCTGGGCGACCGCGTGCCAAGCAACTCTTCGAGGAAGACTTGCCGCCGGCCAAGTCTGTCCCACGACAACACCACCGCGACGCATCGAAAGTAGGATCCCGAGAATCACCATAGCAGACGATGAAGGCCGCCCAGACACTGCCAGACTCCCCGTTATAGTCTGTTCAAAATGGGCGTCAGGGTCGCCATTCGAGAACAGCTCGCCTTCCTTGTGGTGATTGCCGTTCTCGTTGCTTTGATGATCCTCTCCGTCCCCGTCTGGATCTACGTCAATCAATTTGTCACCCAGGTCGAAGGGCGCGAACTCGCCCTTACCGCTTCGCTCAAGGCCTCACGCATTTCTGCCGAGCTCGAACTCGTTCAGACAAGCATCATCACCATTTCTTCCCGAATCCTGATACAGAATTCCTTGTTCACCTTCTACGATGGAAACACCACAGACGGAAACTGGGCTCAAGCCAGAGGCGATCTCAACAGTGCGCTCAGCGTCGGCGGTCTCACGGGTCTATTGCAAGGGAGAATCTATTCACGGAACATCACTGGCAACGGCTATGGTCTACTCAACGTTACTGGAGAAAAGGTTCCTGAAATCGCTTTGCCATATCCTGGCGCCAATGGCTCACAAATTTTCCTTTCCGATACCGCCGAGGGCTACCCGCCAGCCCTCTACCCGAACATTACCTACGAAGATCTAGGCCGTCAGAATCAGTATAGGAACAATACTCGGGCTTATGCAGCCAACGCGTTCGACGGAGTTAGGATTTCCACAAACGGTGGTCTGTTACTTGGCCCTTTGATTCTCAATGAGACAACTGCCCTCATCTCCATTACCGTGCCGATTCGTTACAACCAACAGCAGGAATTCATCCTAGGGTACATGACGCTTGTCGCCACGGCGAATTCTCTCATTAGCATCCGCAATTCCCGTGAGGGTTTAGGGGATACTGGACTGGTGCTGCTCGTCGGGCCTACTGAGAAGTCGAACAGGTTCAATTCCAGTAATGCGGTCAGCAACAGTACCTACAAACCACCTACTGACGCACTCAATAACGTGCCGGTGAACTTTGTCCTTCCACCCAACCCTCTATCTGGGCAGGGTGACCGGCACGATGAGAGAAGCTGGTCAGCGGGCAAGGACGACGACCCTTTCCCAATGAAGGATTATCCGGCAGTTCTCGCCTCCTTTAGCAAGCAGATCGCGGCACCGAACAACTCAAGCTCGATGCTTTCTACGAACAACGAACAGGGTCTTCCGGTGGCTGTGGGTTTTGCAAGAACCAACACCGCACTCGTTAACTGGACTGTGGTCGTGGAACAAGCCAAGTCAGAGGCCGACGCTCCTATTGAGACATTGCGGAATATTATTCTGGGATGCGTTTTCGGCACCGCAGGCCTCATCATAATCCTCATCTTTCCTTGCGCGCATCTTAGCGTGATGCCCATCAGGAGACTCAAGTCGGCGACGGAGAAATCGATCCAGCCACCGGGATATGAGGATGGATATTATTCCGAATTCGACGGCGACGAAACTCCTGGATCGGGTGGAATTTCATCACGAACACAACGTTCTAAAAAGGATGGCATCATCACCAGTATCTTCAAGCTGGTAGGGTACAAGCCCAAGGAGAAACCCGCCTCAGAGCACGATCGCGATTCGACCCGACGCATTTTCAAAATCCCCGGCAAGGTCACTGACCGGAAACATTTCATCACCGACGAATTGACCGAGCTGACGGAGACCTTTAACGATATGAGTGACGAGCTGGTCAAACAGTACCTTTCCCTGGATCAAAAAGTCTTGGAACGGACCCGTGAGCTTGAAATCAGCAAGAAAGCTGCCGAAGCCGCCAACGAAAGCAAGACGCTCTTCATCGCAAACATTTCACACGAACTGAAGACACCCCTTAATGGTATCCTTGGCATGTGTGCCGTGTGTATGGAGGAGAGCGATATTCTCAGGATAAAGCAGTCGCTCAAGACACTTTACAAGTCAGGTAAATGCGATCTGGCTTGCTCGTCGCTCTGTACCTTGCTGACCACTTTTAGGCGACTTGCTACTCCATTTACTCGAGGATCTCCTCAGCTTTTCCAAGAACCAGATTGGGCAACAACTGAATCTGGAAGAGAAGGAATTCCGCCTTGCCGACATTAGATCTCAAATCTTGACCATCTTTGACAAACAAGTCAAAGAAGGCCGAATTACCTTGACTGTTAACTTCCTCGGCTCTGAAGCGATCGAACTGAGCAGTAGCCCGGAAAGAACCAGCACCGACAACAGACTACCGGCTCTTGGACCGCATGGAACCGGTAGACTGAAGGATATGTGTCTATGGGGTGACCAGCATCGCATTCTCCAGGTCATCATCAACCTAGTCAGCAACAGTGTCAAGTTTACGCCAGCAGGCGGCCGGGTTGATGTCCGCATCAAGTGTATCGGCGAGGTGGAAACTCCACCAGCAAATGATGGCAGTCGGTCGTCATCGTTCTCGAGGGAATCTAGACGACAGGGCAGAGGCCGACACCGAACGAACAACAGCTCGAATCCATCTGTGAGCTCTAGGGGAGGCTCGACTTCTGAACCCGTCAAGGGCACTGCTTTAAGCATTAACCCGATGGAGCCCAAGTCAACACCTCACATTCAGGTTCGGGAGCGATCTCCTACGCCGCCACCACCTGGTGCAAAGGCCTTTATATTCGAGTTCGAAGTGGAAGACACTGGACCGGGTATTGCTGAACACATGCAGCAGAAGGTCTTTGAACCCTTTGTTCAAGGCGACCTAGGGTTGAGCAAGAAGTTTGGCGGAACAGGCCTGGGATTGAGTATCTGCCACCAACTTGCAAGTCTGATGGGTGGATCTATTTCGCTGAAAAGCACTGTCGGGGTTGGCACGACGTTCACTATGCAAATTCCCTTGAAATATGTCAAGGACAGGTATGTCTAGATGATTGTGAAGCAATGCGGCTCATGTACTGACGAGATCTTACAGGGCCTCCAGCACCGCTTCTAGCAGCATCAAGTCTCGGCCTCCAAGTGTCGATGCCATCGAAGGCATCGACAGTGTTCAAAACGCGAAGCGCAACTCCGGCGGGGCCCCCGTCAGCCCACCTATCAAGCCAGCCGGAGAAACAACTGCAAAGAACCTACTTGATCAACAACCAAGACTGGTCGGCCTCAGCCAGCCTTTCTTCGCGTCGAACCCAGCGCCTAAAGCCAAGCGGAACACGAAACAGCAGCAAATGGCAGCCATCGATCGGGCAATGGCTACGAAGGCCAATAAGGAAGGAAAGCTACGGGTGCTCGTTGCGGACGACAATTCGACAAATATTGAGGTTGTCAGCAAAATGTTGAAGCTTGAGGACGTCTACGATGTCACCATCGCCAAGGACGGCCAGGAAGCGTACGACCTAGTCAAGGCGAATATGGATAAAAATCAAGGATTCGACGTAATCTTTATGGACATTCAGATGCCCAATCTCGATGGCCTGCAATCGACAAAACTCATCCGCAAGATGGGTTACAAAGCTCCTATCGTGGCATTGACCGCCTTCTCAGAAGAAAGCAACGTCAAAGAATGCATGGAGAGTGGCATGGACGAGTTCCTGAGTAAGCCCATTAGACGGCCTGCGCTGAAGCAGGTCCTCAAGAAGTTTGCGACGATTCCGGAAGAGCCCGAAACAGCGAGCTTGTCAAGGAAAACGACACCAGAGAAGCCTACGACGACAAAGCCAGCAGCTGCTAACGGCAGTGGGCCAGCAGTTGCGCCGGAGATGAACGAGAAAGGGGATGCGATCCACCCGGTTGGGAATGGAGCCGCGGCTGCGCCCTCATCCGAACAACCCCTATCGGAGAAGGGGATATAATTGACGTTTAATGACTTTTCAGCAGCAGGCAGAGAAATACTCGGTTTTGAGACGCCTGACAGCACATGTTCGCATAGGATTCCCCCTTTTCCCTTCGTTTGGAAGCGACATACAAAAGTTGGCGTCAGGGCGTTGGTTTTTGTTTTTGATCTTTTCACATTCCCTTTTGTGTACGTATTCGTAATGACCCTGCTCGGTCTTCGAGGCACCGAAGTAGGGCTGCTCAGGCTAGGCTTGGGCATGTGTCAACATTCTCTTTTGGGAACGAAAACGGATTGGGTTGGTACACTGTGACCAGGTAGTAGGGGTTTGGTCCCCTGAAGAAAGGGAGCGGGCATACATTCGTTGCTAGCAAGCATAGCGATACATCAGAGAGAGGAGGCAGCGACCCATACGGAGGGTTTTTTTTTTTCCTTTTCAACTTGTCATATGGGCGGCCTTCCGGGCGTACACGAAGATATCCGGACACGCATAGGGCTTCCTCCATCCCCCCGATCAACACGAAGAACGGGGCATGGAACTCTGGGGAGGACAGGAAGGGTTGGCGAGCTAAACACGCACGCGGGTGAAAGAAGACACGACGGAAAAGACACCAAGAGCAGAGCAGCGCAGCACAGAGAAGAGGAGAGAGAAAGAGAAACTCGGAGCGAGAAGAGGGACAGAGTTGTTGGACATGGGTACATTTTCATGTCGAGTAATGCCGATGACTATCTTGCTTTATCGATTAGTCTTCTAGTATCACAAAGTCGTTGTAACATCCTCTGATCATCAGTTCCTCAACTTGCGGTGATTGCATCTTCATGCGGACGCCAATACTTTGATGTGAATCTATAATGCAACATGAATAACAACCTTCGATACTGGGAGACACTGGTGCCAGGCATGAGAAACCTGCTCAATCGGATCTGATTAGCCTTGCCCATAGAGACATTCACAGTCACACGAGATTGATGTGGTTGTGCTCATGAACATTGCGTTGGTTCTATGTATCTCCATCTACCGAGAGACTGTACCAATCATCAATCACGAAGCAAGAGAGAAATTTATCAACCGTTCCTTCCATCGAAAACCTTGTCGTCTGCCGTGACAGCGACGAAATGCCGTGACCTCAACGCCAAATTGAGAATCACCATACCAATCCCTTTGCAATTGCGTTTCCAAGGACGCATCTACCAACCGCTAGCGCCAGTGTCCTCGGTAGACCCACCGCCGGTCCCCCAAGCGTCGCCAGTATCGGTCTGGGCGGGGGCGTTGTTGGAGGCGCCGAAGTCATCAATGTCCTCCTTGGGAGGGTTGGGGCACTTGAAACTCTTGTGACCCATCTCGCCGCAGTTGTTGCACTTGATGCGGGTGACTGTTAAGGAACATTGTGTCAGGGTCATGCAGTCAACGAGGCTAGTTGGGCAACTTACTGTCAACGGGCTTCTCGCAATCCCTGGAGAGATGACCCTCCTCATCGCAGTTGCGGCACTTGATCTTGCGAGGCTCAGGACACTCCCGGGAGACGTGGCCCTCCTGGCCGCAGTTGTGGCATGCACGACCACCGCCACCACCCTGAGGGCAGTCTCGAGAGAAGTGGCCCACTGTAGATGATTAGCTTTTGTCTCTGAAGGAAGCTGGATGAAGAAAGCCTTCTTACTCTCGTGGCACTTGTTGCACTCCACGTCATCACCAGCCTTGCGAGGCTCAGTGCAATCGGAGACCTTGTGACCAGACTGGCTATAGAATATGTCAGTCATTTCGCATCAAGAACGGCGGCGAACTCGGCTGCTTACCCGCAGTTCTTGCAAGCGAACTTGTCAATGCGAGGAGTAGGACCTGGATCAGTTGGTCAGTGATGCAAACCATCGGGTGAAGCAGGCAGACTCACAATCGCGAACACGATGACCCTCTTCGCCGCAGTTGTAGCAGGCGATGGTCACGCGGGCCTTCTCCATGGGGTCTTGAGGGCACTCCCTGGAGTTGTGGCCAAGCTCGTTACAATTGTTGCACTTCTGCATAAGACGGGAAACGGGCTCTCCAGCATCTTCAAGGCGGGCCAGGTTCTCCTCGGGGGAGGCAGGCCAGTTAGCCTTCTCGCGCTGGCGGTCAGGCTGCGCAGAAAAGCGGTACTGGACAGTGTACTTCTTGTCCAAGTTACCCTGGAGATCCATATTGGTGTGGGTGGGAGCCAAGACACGCTCGGTGGCGATGAGGTAGATGTTCATCTCCTGGGCGCGGAAAGCATTCTCCAGCTCGACATATCCCATCTCAGGGTAGTGCTTGAGGTACTTCTGGATGGACTCCTTGGCTTCAACGCCGTCGCGCTCCTGGATAGCCTCGTGGATCTCCTCCCAGGCCTTGTCGGCATCGACATCCGCAACATTCGTGAAGTCGATCTTGCGACGGCTCTTGCAATCAACGGTCGCGTGGCCTGATAAAGTAACTATTAGTCCCAAGTCTCGATATTGCAAGATAGTGAACAACATACCCTCCTCACAACAGTTGCGGCAAAGATCAGGACCCTTGTTGGGGCACTCCTTGCGCATGTGACCCTCCTCGCCGCAGGTGCGGCAGGTCATGGCAGGAGCGGAGGGACAATCGCGGCGAGTGTGCCCCTGCTCACCGCAGGCGTTGCAAGTGCCATCGAAAGCCTTGCGAGGCTCGGTGCAATCAGCCTTGCTGTGACTACATCATCATGTGTGTCAGCGTGCGGAACTTCTGGTGTCGGTCAAATATGGAGCAATCACTCACCCAGTCTGGCCGCAGTTGAAGCAGGCACGGTCGCCTCCATCGCCGCCGTCGCCGCCATCACCGCCCTTGGGGTTGCTCCAGGGGTCATCGTTGGGGATGCCATTGCCAGCGGAGGTATTGCCAGTGCCCCAAGCATCGTCAGTGGTGCCCCAAGGATCAGACATCTTGTTGTAATCGCTCGAGAAAGAATTGCTGATTTACTGAATCCTGAAGAGAATTGATTGACAGAGTCTGGACTGGTCCAACAAGTCAATCAAAAGAGACACTTCTAGACGAAGCGCAGGGAGAGTGGAAAAAGAACGGAACAGGCAGGATTGTAGAGTAATGTAAAGCAATAATCTGAATTTTTCAGAAGAAAAGAAAAGAAGTGTTGACGTGAGTGGAAAACCCTCCAGAGAAAACGTGACAGTATGGAAGGAGAAGAAAGGTACAGCTGAGCGAGGACTAGGCAACAAGCAGAAGGAGCGCAAGACCCATACTGCCTTTTCTGGAAGAGTAATTCTCAGAATTGCCGTAGTCCAAAACCGCGAGAATTGACCGATGTAGAGCCTCGCTATCTGAAGCTGCTCGGACCCAAAACTTGCGAGGAAGTCGGCATGGATCCAAATCGCGAATATTTGCTCAGACAGAGAAACAGCAAGATGAATCCAACAACGAAAAGAGATGAAACTTGACTTACGATATGTATCTCAGTGGTTGATCTTGATCTTGATGCGTACTGTAAAGCGGAAATGAAGCGGTTGTGTTGAAAGCTGATCGTAGTTGAATGAAGCCAACCCTGGTGGTGAGATGGTGAAAAGAAAAAAAGAAGAAGAGAAAAGGAACAGGTTTGTGGAAAAAGATTCAGGTTTAGCTCATGGAGAGGAAGCCACGATCTCCGCTTATGTCGTCGAGACCACCAATCCTATGCTCTCACGATGCGGGTTTCCTGTAGTCGTGAATGCCCGTAGCTGAGTTGAACTCACTTGAGGGCACCTACACAACAGACTGGCCACTATTCTAGCCTGAGCATGAGACATCACCTGACTTGCAGCACAACTACTTATTTGAAAGGAGCCGGAAAACTTCGAGGTATACTTCAATCGAAAGGATTCTTTCGACCATGTTGTAAAGCCACCCTTGAATAGCAAGTGAGGCGCTCTTTGCGAGAAGTCCAGGCACCAATGTCTATGTCAAACTCCTTTCAAGACTTCGATCGCTTTCTACTAGGCTTAAGAGCTATGGTTCTGGGCCCGTTGCCCTCAATACGAAGATACCATGGCCCGAAATGCTCAGATCAATGTAGGTATCAATATGAAGAAGCCTGAAAGCTTATCTTTAAGTAGGTCTTGGGCTCTATTATTAGCCTGATCTAAGCAAGACGGAAATAGCGTACCTGAGAATCATTTGCTTTACAGTTCGGTTGAACCAATTGCCTGAACCGTGTGCTGATCACCGTCTAAATATTGATCACCCGTACTGTTGTCACTGCCTTACCTCAGTACGCTGCCTTGTGGTAGCTGAGTCAAGCTCTCTCTTATGTGATGGGAAGACCGGTTCAGAGTTTTGCGAGATGACCTGGGGTGCTCTACGAGAGACTTGTAAATGCTACAGCCTAGAGTGATCGTCAACCTATCTCGTTGTGAAAAGATAGCGGCCTGGTTTGCGACTAGTTAATCATAGCCTAGCACGGGTCACCATAAGCACGGAAAGAATCATCATTGGAACATTTCCTAGAGAAATCATTCAATTGTCAGCTTGTTGAACTTTGCTATACACGTTCCACCGTCGTAGAGACTGCGGGGAGTCATGTTCAAGATTGGCGCTACCTCGTAAATGTTTGTTACGACTCGGTCTAGGATGCGACCCGAGGTCTAGCGTGTTGGTTGGCATCTACCTTAAGGCTTACCCCAAGATGCCGAGTGCAACGAAAGATAGCTTCATGACACCTTGATGGGAGGAGCGTCGTTGAAGGATTAGTAAGCTGGCCAGGTCCTCGCAAATTCGGGGCAATCGGAGCAGCGAGAATATGAAACATCCCTGAAGGGCCCGCATTATAGCAGGGGCAATGGTGGAAGGTTGTGTTGGAGGGGCAGCTGGAGGGGTAATTTAGCGCACAGCACCCGCAGCTTCGCTTCCAGTTCCTCGACACGGGTGACGTTGAGATCCCTCGTCTATCTTACCGCACTCCGTACCTCGATGTCTTTTTTATTTATTTATTTGGGGGTTATATTTAGTATTATTCTGTGCTACACGGTACCAATTGGTCCCTTTGAGACTGAGCAAAAAGAAAATCAGGACATTGGCTTACAAGCGTCTCATTCTGCTTATCGAAGCAACAAGCTCGGGATAGCTCGATCCCGTCCGTCATAGCTCCAGGATCAGGCAGCGTGGAACCACGACAGCTGTGTCTGTACCGGACCGGTACCCCCGCCAACAGCTGAGCGTGGAATGGGACCATTGGCTACATGGCTCGCCGGTGACACAACTCGCCGGTCATGGACTCGGATGGCGGGGTTGATACCGGCTGCCCCGCTTCCATGAGCTTGACCACTGGAGATGGGCGATTCAACGACTGCTGCAGTATCTGTAACCACGAGAGGAATAGGTTGGGCCCCACGGTGGCCTTTTGACATGGGCCATGGGCATAGAGCTCCAATGGACCTTCTTTTTTGAACACGAGATGGTCGGACGAGGGGGACTGACTATAAGTAAGGTGCTTGCCGCTCTTCGCATGACTTGCCAGCTTGCACTCGCCTCCACTTTGCTTCGCGACCTTCCACCACCTTTTTCTCCAACGACTCTCAAATCACCTACAAAATGTCCAAGCCCGAAGATCTTCCCCCTATGGAGTACCGCTTCCTGGGCCGTTCTGGTCTTCAGGTTAGTGCCATCAGCTTGGGAGGCTGTGAGTGGCCCTGATTGTGTTCCGGAAGACTGTGACAGACACTGACTCTCCACTAGGGTTGACCTACGGCGGCCACGTCGACTCCGGTACGAGCAGACCCCGAGTCACAGAAGGCGAACGAGACTGACAAACTACGTAGAGGGCACTTTCAAGTGCATGAAGGCTGCCTACGATTCTGGCGTCAACTTCTTCGATACGGCTGAGGGCTACGCCAATGGCGAGAGCGAGATTGGTACGAGCAGTCGACATCACCCTCGCCGAAAGAAGGAGGACTAATTCTGTGATAGTCATGGGCCAAGCCATCAAGAAGTACGGCTGGAAGCGCAATGATCTCGTCATCTCTACCAAGGTGCGCAACCCCGCAAAGGCCTGGCGACACTGGAATCCGAGGCTGACATCTGAATGCACAATAGATTTACTGGGGAGGTGCCTTTGGCGACAACGTTGTCAACAACAAGGGTCTGTCCCGCAAGCACGTCATCGAGGCCATGGACGCTTGCCTTGAGCGCCTCGATCTCAAATATGTCGACCTCGTCTACGCTCACCGGTGAGTTTCCCTCTCGACACGTTTACGAATACCACTGACTTTACTTAGTCCCGATCGCCAAACACCCATGGAGGAGACCGTCCGCGCCTTCAACCACCTGATCAACACTGGCAAGGCCCTTTACTGGGGAACATCCGAATGGAGCGCCGATGAGATCGCCCAGGCCTGGCGCTACGCCGACAAGCTGAACCTTGTCGGTCCCATCATGGAGCAGCCCTCGTACAGCATGCTTGACCGTAAGAAGGTCGAGCACGAGTTCTTCCACCTCTACCGCGAAGTCGGCACCGGTCTGACCGTCTTCTCCCCTCTGCGCCAGGGTATCCTTTCCGGAAAGTACAAGAACGGCATCCCCGAGGACTCCCGCTTCGGCTCCGAGAACATTGGATTCATCAAGGACTTTTGGAAGAGAGAGAATGCCAAGAAGCAATTCCAGGACCTCGTTGACAAGGCCAACAAGATCGAGCCCATTGCCGAGAAGCTGGGTATCAAGATGGCTACCCTGGCGCTTGCCTGGGTCCTGAAGAACAAGAACGTCAGCTCCGCCATCATTGGCGCGAGTAGTCCCGAGCAGGTGTTTGAGAACATCCGGGCTATCGGTGCGCAAGAGAAGTTGACGGACGAGATTATGAAGGAGATTGACGAGGCGCTGGAGAACAAGCCCGACGCCATTATCCCGAGATTCTAGAGCGGTCGAAAACGGTGTACGACAATATGAAATGAGAACTTCGGGGTAAGTACGTACATATACGAAATACCAATCGAATAATGCACAGATATTACACTTCACACACGATCACTGTTGAAAGCGCGCACGGCAAACACGAAGAAGTCATCAAGGTTGCCCAAAGAGGTGAACACACACTCTACATATCACCCATAGCTGAGTAAAGTTGAGCTATCTGTCGGGGTGCGCGAGCCACTGCACTCTGGCCAAGTGGTCTAGCGTGCGATGTCTTCGTCCAGAGATCGCAAACTGAAATTATCTAAACCTACCGCGCCCTGCGTCTCGTTGTAGTACCATATTCTGCCATTTTGCCAGTTCGAATCTCCATTTTGTCACTTTTTGTCTTTTCTTTCTGCTTTTCTCTTTCACGCATCGGAGTCTATCTTCTGTTTTGTTTACTTACTGCTCTCGATTTGCAGCCCTACTCATGATCAAGGCCACCCTAAAGATGACTGCCAAGACTGTTCGAACCAGTATATAATTGGGAATTTAACCATGGATGCCTTGAATGGCCTGTTCTATAGTTCCAAGGTGATATAAGTACGAGATGAGCGGATCAAATAAGAGAACCAGGACTCAGCGCAGCAAGAAGTTTCTGCGCCTTTGTTTAAGACTTATAGCGTTAAATCGAAGATAGTGTCGGGCTTCTTGATGTCAGAATTGTCATCGCCGGGCTTCTCGATGTCGGATTATTCCGCATCGTCGATCAACTTGCGCTTCTGGGTGCTCTTCTTCTCGATCCAAATCTTTCACCGATAGAGGGAGGATGAGGTTTCACTTCAAACCCGAAGTTCTGCGGAGAAAAGATGTGGCACGTTCAAGCCGGTTTCTGTTTGACTCAACAATTATTTATGAATGCCAACTAAAATTCTCTTGGGTCTATCACCACGTTTGAGACCGTCTTCATGTTATAAATGCGCGTGTGATCTTCTTTATCAATCACAATGCTTCTACGTAAGGTACTTGGCAATACGCCTTATTCGGTGCTGTCAGAGAAATGCCGTTTCTTTCCAGACAAGAGGTGGACAACACCTTTCATCTTCTCCAAAACTTGTGTCCTCCGGTGCACATGCCAAGCAACGGGCCGAGCATACGACAAACACCCCGGGTAACACACGGCCGTCCGGCCCCGCTTTCCTCCGCGGAGATGTTTGCACGGTTCCCACAATTGGAGAACCGAGGAGAGCCGCTGAGAAGGAGGGATGACGACAAATCTCTCCGAGGATCCGGCAATCTATGTCAGCCGTAGTAAGTAGGCCAATGCCTTTTTCGTGTCTCACATATGCACCAAGATCTCACTCAGAAGCCAGAACGTCTTGTTTTTTTTTTTTTTTTTTTACTTCCGAGGTTCTGTGTATAAGACATCAAGCTGACCCCGCCCGATCGTCACAGGCACAAAGTTCTCCAATAGTGCTGTCTCACAAAGTCCCGGGGGAAAAAAGCCAACAACACCCCTCACTTAGAACAACCAAAAAGAGTACAAAAAGGGAGCAAAAAAGCAAATAACAAGAGACAAAACACCAGACATGGCCATCTCGAGACTGGTATCGTGGTTCCCCCACGTCAAGGCGCCCGCCATCATCAACGCGCCGATGCTGGGGTCCGCCGGCGCCGCCATGGCAACTGAAGTCCACAAAGCCGGTGGTTTCGGTAAGGGCGAACTCACCCTCCCTTGTTCTAGCCAAAATGTCTCTCTCGGCTTCTTATGAAAAAGAACATCAGACTGACAAATCTTCCTCTTACCAGGTTTCATCGCCGCGGGCTTCGACTTCTCAGAGTCCTCGGCCCAGATGACGGACCTAGACAAGGCCCTGACCCAAGCCCGCACCCTCCTCTCACTCCCGGCCGCGGACGGCAACAGCGGCGGCAGCGGCGCGGGGGGACTCCCGCTCGGCGTGGGCTTCATCACGTCCCACGAGACAGCCGGTCACTTCACGGCCAACGTCCTGCCCATCCTGGTCCGCCACGGCGTCGCAGCAGCCTGGCTCTTTGCCCCGCATCCAGAGACCAAACCCCACGGCGAAATCATCGCCGCCCTCCGCGGCAAGGGAACGAAAGTCTTTGTGCAGGTCGGCAACGTCGCCGCGGCGCGGGAGGCGGCCGCCGACGGCGCGGACGTCATCGTCGCGCAAGGGGTCGACGCCGGCGGGCACCAGTTTTCGCGGGGCTGCGGCGTCGTGGCGCTGGTGCCCGAGGTGAAGGCCATGCTGGCGGCCGAGTTTCCCGACCGGGACGTCGCCGTCGTCGCGGCGGGCGGGATCGTGGAGGGCAGCGGGGTGGCTGCGGCGTTGGCGCTGGGCGCTGAGGGGGTTGTGCTGGGCACGCGGTTCGTTGCGACGGACGAGGCGATGAGCGCGCAGTTGCATAAGGAGGTTATTGTGAGGACCAAGGACGGCGGGGTGAGTACGTGGAAGTCGGAGTTCCATGATCGATTGGTGGATAATAAGTTGTGGAAGGAAGGGTATGATGGGAGGGCGATTGTAGGAGATATTCATCGGGAGTATCACGCCCTCGGCGGCCAGACGGCGACGGTGGAGGAGAGCCGGGAGAGGTTGCGGACGGGGTGGAGCGAGGAGGAAGGGAAGAAGATGATTGGGAAATGGGCCGGTGCTGGGGTTGGGCTTATTGATGAGATTAAGCCGGCTGGAGTGGTCGTTACTGAGGTGAGAGAGGCTGCGAGGAAGCGGATTCAAGAGTTGGTTGGGTCGATTTGAACGGAACAAAAGGCCTAGTTGGGAGTCTCGGGCAAGGTGTGATTGCATGGCCAAAATCATCAAGTTTGATGCTCCATAGGGGCTGCAAGAAGATTCATTAACAGGGAATTTAAAATCACTTCGTAAAATAATTGCGTTCGTCCGAGGTGTAGCATAAATCTAGATTCTCTAGATATTGATTCTGCAACGAGCCGCGTCGAAGAGCAGTGCCAGTAAATGCCTGTATTGGATGTAAGATGTTAAATTTTTGGACTCCCCCTAGCTTCATGTGACTTGTAACATGGATAGAGCCCAGGTGTCTGTCTCATATTTATGAGCCCAAAGATCTGACAACGCTCTGCCTAGTGCCCCTTTTCAGTCTTGGTCAACTTGGCCGCACTCTCAAAGTACCCATCCGTGCCGCCGTACTTGGCCAGAACACCGTCAATGTCTACTTCCTCCACGTTTCGCGTCCGCTTTCTCCCAAGCATGGCTGTATTTCGCGTGCTCGGGATACGTAACATCTCCGTCTCCACGACCCATCCGCAGTCCTCGGCGATCTGTGCGGCCCAGTCGACCAAGGAAGCATACGTGGATATCGACTTGGTCTTATCACGCGGCGGCGGCGGACGGTACTTTTGACCGCCCAGAGAATGGCTGCAGCAGGGAATCATGATGAAGGGGCTCTCCGACAACGTAGCGAGGATTGGCGTCCAAGGTGTAAGCTCATCTGCGTGATTGGAAACGATGAAGGTGCCTTTGGGGAAAGCGCCGTTGTGTATCTTTGACAGATCCAAGGCGGGCTCCTCCTCGCTATCGGCGTAAGATGGCCTCGAGACAATGTCGGGGAGAAGAACCAGAGCCTGGAGCGAATCCCGTCCATCTTGGACAGAATTGTATTTGGCCCATGACTTCCTGGCTCTGGCATCGAAGCCCCAGCCAGAGTAGCCCTCTTGGATCAACAGATGAACTAGCAATCCATTTCCGCAACCAATATCTACAAATCCAGGGAACGGCTGGTCCTTGTACATTTCTTTCCAGAGCTCAATCAGGAAAGCAGCAATGCCCAAGTCCTCAAAGACATGCTTAGTTGGGTCCGTCGTCTCGGCCCAGGTTTCCACCAGGTCCTTGGCATACTTGAGCTTGAGCTCCATATAACGGTCCTGGAACCTGGCCTGGGGAATCACAACGTCGTGGTGCACCCGCTTGGTATACCCGTCGATCCGCCCCTGGCCGTGCTTGTACAGCACGGAGAGCAGCATGCGGGCGGTCCGGACCAGCTTTTCGACGGCGAAGTCGGCCTCGTTAAAGAAGAGGTAGTGGATGGAGACAGTACCGACGGCGCGCGCAGCGTCCCACTCGTGAAGATGCGCGACACCCCGGACCTTGGGGTGGTAGAAGGGGAGGGCGTCGGGCGAGGACGCGTGGGGGAGGTAGACGACCAGGGACCTGACCTTTGTGGCATCTGGGGTACAGGAGGAGGCGAAGATGCACGTCTGGTCCAGGGGGTCGTCCCGGCGGGTGTTGCGCGGGATCAGCCTGCGCACGAAGACGCGGTCGTTGTGGAAATCCTGAAAAGCAATGGGAAGAGGTTGCTGCTGATGCTGCTGCTGCACAACTTGTGCGGCGGCGCCATCTTCCGAGGCAACGTCAGGTGCGGGTGCAGGGGGAGGTATCCATGCCGGGTCCGAGTCGTGTAGGACATCAGCGCGGAAGAGCCATGACGAATTGATGTTTGGGTTCTTGATGAGATTCATCATGACATCCTCAAAGATTTCAGGCCCAAAGGCGCACTCCTGCTGGAACAAGGGATGCCATATCTCGCCGGAGACATCGTGTACGAGGGGCTCTGCCGACTGCCCAAGTGCCGTGGGATCATAAGCCATGTCGATAAGGCGGGAGAAAACAAAGTCGTTTCCCAGGCTGCAGGCTGAGGAAGAAGCAATACAATGAAACTTTTGAGTGTGATGGAGAGCCGTGAGATGTGACTCGGGCAGATATCGCATGAATTATAAGAATGGCGCTAGGCAAGTGTCGGCTAGCCCCGCAGGGTCGGGCTAGGAGCGGCCACTTTTAGGCCACGGACCCATGTGACGTTGTGAGTTGGCCAATTTTTTGTTTACTTTGCGAGGTGGTTGCCATGTCACCCCCACCTCGCAAAATACACAGCGAAGAAGAGTAGACACAGCACAGCACACAGCAAGTTCCATATCCAGCAGAAACTCGCCCTTGCAGACCACGCAGAAAAGGGTACTGATCCGTCACTCTCCTGCATAAGATCCGAACCGGGCACTACGGATACACACCAACGCCATAGCTCATTTCCTTTTGATGACACACTTTCTGCTCTTCTTTCGATCTTCAGTCACAAGCTTTTCGAGCCGCTCAAGAACCACATTCCTCCGCATGTGCTGACCAAGAGGAATACTCTTCAACAAGCACTGCTCGTAGTGCGATCGTCTCGCCGCGACAACACGTCCCCTACGATGGCGGAAAACGACAACTTGCGTACGGCATCGCTGTATATCAACAATCAATTGCTCTCGCGAGGACTCCTACGCGATGGCCAAACAATCAACTTTGCCGACCCGGACGACTATCCGGGCGGCGCGGAGGCCACCATGGGCAAGATCATGAGCATTGTCAATGATTTGATCTTGCGCCGAGACGTGCGTTTGCCCTTATTCCCCTGATGTATAGGACTTGGAGAGAAGAAGAGGAAGAATGCCCCATACTGAGATGTTATATTTCCCCCCTTCAAGCGCGATGCCGAACAACGCGAGAACCTATCGACCACTATGCGCACCGTTCGCGCCGAGAACCTACGGTACACAAACGACATCGCACGCCTCTCGGAGAAGCATATCGAGGCTCAAAGAAAGCTCGACATCAGCGAGGCCACCGAAAACACCTTGCGTACTCAGCTCAAGTCTGCCGACGCCGCTGTACGCGGCCTCAAGGACGAGGTGGCTCGCGCCAAGACTCTGGTCGCCCAGACGAGGGCCTCCTGCGCAACGGAGGTCCGACGCCGCGACCGCCAGATAGACGGCCTGAAGAAGCAACTGGGCGAGGCTGGCCGTCCCCGCGGTACCGCGAAGAGCTCCGCCGTCACTGTTATCAGCGTCGTCGCAGGCGAAGGCGAGGACAAGATATCGCCTAAGCGCGGAGCCAAGGCCGCCGCGGCTACGGAGGACTCCAGCTACGATCTGCGTACCGAGACGAACGAGTTCCTGACGGACCTTGCGCGAAACCTTAGTGAAGAGAACGAGTCTCTCTTGAACCTGATCCGTCGAACAACTAAGAGCCTACGCGAGATGAGTGGCTGTGATGCTAGAACAAGCCAGGGAGATGGTCATGCTGTTACGCTGCCCACGGCTGAGGACATGGCACATGAGCTTGACGCCATCCTCGAGCACCTGCGCTCCATCTTGACGAACCCCTCGTTCGCCCCTATTGAGGAAGTCGAGGTCCGTGAAGAGGAGATTGCTCGTCTGCGTGCGGGCTGGGTGAAAATGGAGAACCGCTGGCAGGAAGCCGTCCATCTCATCGACGGTTGGCGTCGACGCATGGTGGCCGATGGCAAGTCGGTCAACATGGAAGAGCTCAAGATGGGCCTCCGTCTTAGTCCTGTGCGCGTTCGCAATGTTGATGAGACCCACCAGGGCGCCATTGACATGCATGAGCTGTCTTGTGTGCAAGAGGAATGCACCGCCGACTTGGAAGAGGAGGGAGAGGAAGAAGAAGAAGACGAAGACGAAGAGGAGATTGATTATGACGATTTGCCTGAATCTCCTTGCCCTGCTCCGCAAAGGGTCGAGTCACTCCATCTTGTTCCTGCACCGGCAGAATACAATGCAACTCCTCGCGAAGAAGAGTACAGCCAGGACGATCAGCCGAGCGACTATGAGTCGAGCATCTTTGAGGATGTGGATGTTGAGGAACTCGATATTGAGGAGCCCAATGTCCAGATTCTTCAGCAATCCACCGCCTACCTCAGTTCCCCTCCTCTTCCCCCACCTCCCCAGATGAGCCCGCTCCGCGAGATGCCTTCTGCAGGCAACCGCGACGCCAGACCAAGGCGTGTTGTTCGCGGAGACTGCGATACGATGGCCAACGAGAAGCCCAGAACGATCCGCGCTGTCGACATCGCCCCGAAGCCACCACCACACCTCGTTCAACTTCCGCGATCACCGCAGAAGCCAGCGCACCCGGTCGACGACCGCTCTCGCACAACATCTGCTGCCTCCATCGCCTCCGAATCGACGCACAATGGCGCACCCCTCATCACACCATCCGGAACACCGCCCCCGGAAGTAAACCAAACGCCAACCGCACGGAAACTCCCCAAGCCGCCGCGTCTCGTCTCAGCAGCCCCCGCTGCACCTTCACCAGCGGTCCCGGCACCGAGAGAAACACAATCTCCTGTCAAGAATATCCGTACAGTCTCGCAGGAGAGCCAAGAAAGCCAGTCGAGCCAGGAAAGCTGCGAGGGCGCACCCCCCGCCCCGGCCGTCCAGCCCAACAGTAACAGCAACAACAAGAACGCAACACCTCACCGCACCCCTCTCCGCCGCGTCCCTTCTCGTCTGCCGCTCCCGCGGCCCTCGGACCCGCCACCACAGCAAAGCCCCCTGACAATGGCAACCATCGCAGCCAAACTGGCAGCCTCAGAGCGTGAAGCCGACGCCGCCCGTGTCCGCGCGAAGCTCAAGGCAGCGCGCGGAGGTGCGCTCGGTAAGCCGGTGGCCGCACCCCAACAGCAGCAGCACATGCCTCCCCCTCCGCCAGAAACCATCGTCGCCATGCCACAAGAGCCTCAGCCACCCGTAGACTCCCCGGCCAAGACACGCGCAGACCGAGGAGACCTCGACCCCGTCAAGCGCGACATCTCGCAAGGCGACCAGATCCAGCAGTCGCCGCTCCAACCGACAAAGCGTAAGCGCGAGAGGCGCGTGAGTAAAGTCGCCTCGAGGAGGCGGAGCACGCTTAGTCCCTGGGAGATGGAGAGTCTCATCTCGGGTAACGTCGCTGTCCCGCCGTCGCCTGCTCGGTCGTGAGATGCTCGTTGCTGTCGCATTTACATTCATTCAAACCTTGCAAAGAATCACTAGAAGCGAAGAGGAGGCCCCCTTCCTCTTTTGCTAATTACAATCACCCCATAATATCACTACCCCAATAACTCTCCTATGCTTTTCTTTGGGAGGAAACATCAATCTGTCTTTTTTCAAGGGAAAGGGGAGATATCCAACGGCGTTTGAGAAAAGGGGGGCGAACGAAGGAGCCGCCTGTAGCAGCCTCATATATATGGAGGCCGGCGGTTCAAGGCAGGGAAGGAAACCCGTGGGCAGGCAGGAGTGGGCGGGGAAGATGAAATCGTCTTGTTTCATTCCATTTTGACCTTTTTATATATCCGTGAAGCTTTGTTTTGGTCATTGTCGTACTCATTGCCAGCCAGACACTTCAATAGCGAGGAGCTTTGAATCAGCAAAACTAATCCACCTTTTTTACTTATTCATATTTTCGGTCTATTCATGCTGTGTGTGTCATGATACCCTGCGTGTGAATCTGTGTTATGAAAACCATTCACAAATTATCAAGAAAATCATGTGGAAATCGCCCGTTTTTCTTTTTTCATTACGGACAGCAAGTATCAAACACATGAATCCAAGCAGTTACGCTTAATGCTATGAGACCTACGTGATTCGAACGGAAAGGTCACAAAAGAAAACCAATAGCAACGTATCAATTTCTTGGCCAATTGCTACCCCGCGACTACCAACGTTGAGCCACTTTCACTCACCAATCTCGGCCTCCACGGGAGTCAAGGGTTCCAACGGTACGGGGAACTCAGCTTCCCAGCTACCGTACACAACCTCGACTCCGTGAGCGCCACAAAACGTCCTCAGCTGGTCCATCGCCACACCCGTCAGCGCGCGCTGGTACACCTTCTTCAGCCTGCCCAGTATCGCGACGCGCTCGATGATGGCGCCGAGGCGCATCGGGTCGCATAGGTCCGAGTGAAGCTCGAGGACCTCGAGGTTGGGGAACGACTGGAGGAAACCAAAGAGGAGATCGACCGAGTCGATGCCGCGGCCCCTCTGCGCCGGGTCGCGCGTCAGGTTCTCGTGGGACTCGAAATCAAAATTGAAGAAGCCAAACGTGCGGACCGAGACGCTGCCACGAAGCCAGTCGAGCGCGCCGGGGAAGAACTGGCCCGGCTCCTGGCGCCAGCAGAGGCCGAGCTCCCGTAGCCTGCCTGAGCGGACGGCGGGCTCGAGGAGGACGGTGGCGAGATCGACGCTCAGGGGCAGTTTCGGCATCCAGAAGCGCTCGAGGTTGGGGTAGGTGACGAGGGACTCGGCGGCCTCGTAGCCCGAGTAGTCGAGAGGCAGCTGCTGGGGCAGCCAGTCGCCGTGGTTGGACTGTAGTGCGGCGCGGGCGTCGAGGACGCGGAAGGAGGACGGGTGCAGCGGCGGGAAGTGGCGCTTGTCGCCCATGGAGAGGGCGCCGCACGCCTTGCCGAGCTTGATTACCTGGAGGCCCGGCCAGAGAGACCAACAATCTTCTGGCGGAGCGAGGGAGTCTAGGCCAGTGAATACGCCAAAGTTGTCCATGTGTAGTTGTTCTAGGTTTGGCGTTGAGCGGGCGAGGGCGAACTGCAGGTGCTGGTTAGCAAACATGGTAACTGCGTGGATAACTTTGCAACAGCCAAAAAAAAAAAAAAAAAAAAAAAAAGGAGAAATAGATGGAAGAGGAGGCACAACTCACGGGGTCAATTCGACGCTCAGGGGTTAGCTGATTCAATGTCGAAGTCAGCGGACCGGTTAACTGAAGGATCTTGAGTCGGGGCAGCTCCGGCCAGCCCAGATCGTTGAGGTGCATGCTGAAGAGGGATATCCTCTCGATATTCTCCCGGGCACGTTCGACAAACTGCCTCACGAAGGGCTGGGCGCCACCACTACTCTGATAATTCGGTCTGTTGACGCGGAAACTGAAGCCGAGGTGCGTGAGCCCTTCGAAGAAAAGCGGCTTGGGAGGCAGCTTGTAGCCCCAGTCGCCGCCCTCGAGGTTACGCTTGATCGCGCCGATCTCTAGGCGCGTCGTCATGCGCGGGTTCGTGGTCTGGATGAGAGACAGCCACTTTGACTCGTTGAGTTGGAAGGCGTGCGCGTTGGGGATGACGAGGCTACGGGCGCCGCCGCCGGTCCGCCTCCGCAACGTTTTTAGGAAGGAGACTCTCGGTGGCTTTTGCGGGTTTAGTGAAGGAAAATGGACCTGTCTCCAGATGTAGGGGTGGGTGTCAAGGAACTGGTCCCATCGTTTACAGACTCCCGATATTCGGCTGGCATTCCATGTCAGCAATTGAGTCAGGAGAAGGAGTGTCGGTCAAAGGACTTGTATCGGGCTGCTTGAACTCACCATAATTCATGAAAATCAAAGTAGGAAAATACTTTTTCAATCAACTCGATTGGTAACTCCATAGGGTCTCTCCGACAAAAGTGTTTGTGTAATGGTTCGCGGATCTTGCAAAGTTGCTGCAAGAGTCGAGGTTAGCGAATAGTCTAGCGATACCAAGTTCAAGTAGATATCGCATACTTCATATTTCGTCGTACTGGTGAGGCCTTCCTTTTGTCCAACCTCGATACCGGCACTCCACGCAGCCCATGCCATCTCGTGTTTCTTCTCCAACTTGTATATCTTCCCCAGCCTCATGTACCCCTGAAAACATGTTATTCACATGGAACCCAGCATAAGAGGAAGACAAGTACGCAAAGTGGCCAGGGAGCGACAGCACGCACAGCCAAGTCCAAAAAACAAGTAACAGAGCAAAGACTCACCTCCAAACGCCGCGGCGCAATCTCTAACAACCACTCCGCATCCCTGCGCGCCATATCCAGCTTTCCCATCTTCTCAAAGCACGCAGCCCGGTAGTCGAGCGCCTGGACGTGGCCTTCACGGTGGCAGCGGCCCCACGTCTTCTCGGCGCCGCATTTGCACTCCTTGGTGGCCTCCGCGTAAACGCTGCCCCTTTCGCGGCGGTGCCGGGCCGCCGCTTGAGCAAAGTCGCGGCACGTACATCTTTCCCGCCGGCGGCGCTGCTGCGCGGGGCTGTGGCCGTTCCCGCTGGCGTCTCCGCCGTCAGGACCTGCACCTCCACCACCTCCAGAACCTGCGGCCCCGAGCCCTTTGAGACTTCGAGAAGTACGACCACCGGAACTACTTCCTGAGCCTCCACCTGAGGAGGCAGACCCTCCTCCCGAGGGTGACGAACATGGGCAATTCCCGGCGACGAGGGTGAAGTGCTCGAGTGCGACGCGGAAGCGCTGGTCCGCGTAGGCTGCGCGGCCCTTCTCGATTGACGCCTCCGCCGAGCGGACGCGAAGGAGCTGTCCAGGCGGCGCCATGCCTTTTTGATGACGTGGATGTAAAAGACTGTGGTCTGCGCGAAGGGATCCATTGAGACGGCTGGTCAGTTTTGTATACCTGTATCGGTTTGCTTTTGTTGAATGAGGCAAAAAGATCTCGCAAGATGTTGAGTCTCCTGCTTTGCAGAAAGAGTGAGGTTGTCGTGAACTTGAGGTCACGTGGTACTGGTGATATCTGGCACTCACTGGGGTAAAAGGAACTTTATGAACAAACGCTCGTCTGAGGAGACAATGAATCCGGGGATAGGCCAGCTAGTGCACAGAACAAGAGAGAGTGGGCATTTCGTCTTTTTCGCAGCTGGCCTTTTCTTTTCGAAGGATACTGAGGTCTTAATGAGAAAGAAGAAGCGGCTGACAGCTTAGATTGTGGCGGACGGGGTCGACGGTGTGATAGTGGTGTCGCCGAGGTGGAGGTACAGCATCTCCGAGGTTGGAAAGTGAGGTTGCGGGACGAGGGGCGGAACTCAGGGCGCGACGCGAACGCGACCGGATGTCCTCCGTAACGGGTCCCGCTGTGGCCCGTGGAAGGAGCGAGGAACCGGGGTTACCGCCGGAGGGGGCCCTCGTGGGGAAAGAAACGACAGGTTTCAGCGCCTTCCAGGGCTTATGCTGCTGTAGTTCCGCTGCAAAACTGACTTCCAGGGCAAATAGTTGTTTCCATTGATACCTTCCTTACCTTAACCACCTAAGTCCTGCCTTCCATCGGTCGAGTACCCAAGGTACCTAAATAACGATGAAAGGCAGGTAACCACCTCCCCTTGCCATCTTCCATTTCCATAGCACCTTCTAGCTTTCCATCGGCGATTACCACAGATTAAGGAAATAACTCAGGCAAGATGCCATGACCCATCTCACAACCACCGCGAAACAAGCATCGCCATTCAACTGCATCTTCACAGCAATGACCTCATTCCACAGCAAACCCCGTCTTCCTCGATCACCATCAACCCCAGGTTGTTCTAGACCCCAAGTCCCCGAACTCCCCCAAAATCCTACCGAATCCTACCGCCACCGTCCCCGCGAGAGGACGGCAGACCTTGCCGACTCCTCCGCTCCGCATCCGCCACTGTCTGTGGCGCTCCCGTCAAGCTCAGATCGTTCTCCATCTATAGAGTAATTGCGCCTCGCAAGTCCCCCCTGCTCTGATCACACACCTGCGCATCCAAGAGATCCTCCAACAGCCGACAGGGCTAGCTACGACGGATGACATTGTACGAGGAACTGAGCCTCAATCTCACTCGCCCACGCCTATCACCAGCCTCGTCACGCAGCCACATCTCACATCACTACCCTAAATCTCGAAGAACCATACGCCCCCTCGCCGTTATTTCTGGCCATCCTTCCATCGCAAAGAGCCGAGGACAGTCCCCAATTCAATTCAACAAGCCAGAGCACACCAAGACAGAGACCAAGCCTAGTGGTTCAGGGGGCGCATGGCCGCACCACCCAGCCGGTGTAACTCCTCAGCTGCTCATTGCCAGCGACGATCTCCGAGCTCTCGTTCTGTGGCACACGCTCTTCCAGGCAACGACCGACAGGCAATTCACACACTTGGCCAACCAAGCCCTCCAACCGAACTGCAAAGAGATGTTTCTGGTATCATCTCGCCGTTTCAAGGCATCATTTTCAGGAACCAGACCCCGGGCGACAACGGCGACCAATAAGGATAGCCGCGATGTGAGCAACCCAGTAATCCAAAATCCAGCACCCCACCAAGCTCAAGATCGATTACTTGCGCGCATCCCCGGCTCTCTGGATTTAGAAGTCCCTTGCGTCTCGAACATCAGCAACCCAGCCCAGTCTAGCTTTCACCTTCAAAAGTTCCGCGAATATCAGCCTCTGACTAAGGTTGCAACTCGTGCTGGGCGGCGTCAAGGAAGTGAGACAGAAGTGCCATACTTTCCGCACCGGAACGTGTGTCTCCAAAGGTCAGCAAGTCTACCCACGCACAAAGTGGTGTGTCTTGCATGCTTCATGAGCATTGGACAGTGACCTACACAACCCAGGTAGAAGTGCCTGCATAGATTGGAGGCATGGGTTGCCATGTCACCCTTTCGACGACTCCTTCCGAGACTCGGATCCCCCATTTTGGCACACCGAGGCCCGCCCCCCGGCCGGCCGGGCATAGGACCTCGAAAGCCGCGGACGCCCATGCATATCCGCCTGGCACTTTTTTGTTCCTTCCATCACTTCGTACCGCCTAGTCGGCTGGTTCGCATCATCCTCTTCAAATCACGGATTAGTATCCCACTCAGCATGGGATTTCAGTTGCCTCTCTTTGGCAAAGTTGCCCACTCTGCTTCTCTCACCGGTCACCAGCGGCGGCACGTTAAAATCTGGGCAAATCTGCAGCCCCCAAAATAGGAATCCTTCAGCCAAGCCAAGGCAGGCCGCGCGTGGAAAGAATCCTAGATATGCATAATTTCCGAGTTTTCGAGTACGGCGTAGTCTTGCTTGACAATGGTCCCATGGCAAGGCGGCCGTCAAACGGCGACCCCTTCCCACCCACTGTACGTCTTTCTACCTCGAGGTATGTCACGATGAGCCGGATATCGCGGTCGCAGGATCAAAAAGAAGCTCACAGCAGCTGCCTGCCGCTCCGTCCGCATCCGCATCCGCGACCCCTCACCCCGGCACCCTAGCATGGCTGAGGCCAAGCATCACGCGAGTCCGGACAACCCTCGAAGAAGCTGGCCAAGCATCGATTCTGCCCGGTAGGATCCGGTGCTTTGCGGTTCCCGCCGCAATTGCACATCAATATATCGCTTCCCATCACAGTGAGAAGCTGTCGATTGGTGCTGCTAGGCCAGTTCGTGTCTAGTTACCCGTCCTTCTTGTTTACATGCTTGCATGAAGATTGTTTGCCTCGAATCCTTCTGCAGCAAAGGTACCTACCTTCCCTGAGGTACGCTACCTACGGACAAAGTGCCTTGCACAAACAAAGATTGCATACGCCGTCCGTACGGATGCTTGAGGCCGCATCCTGGCCCGGGCGGTCGGCCGCGGTGCGAACCCCACCCCCTTGGGACACCCCTTGTCCGACAACAAACTGCCTTCCTCCAGGACCTCCCGAAGTCGATATCTCGATTTCAACAAATCCTTCCTGCGATGCACGGTATCTTCCATTCCTTCGGCACGTCTTTGGCCATCAGAGGTCAGAAAATGCCGAGAATTCTGCCACACGTCCCCCCTCTACTTTCCGACCATCGAATGGGAATTAAAGAAAAGCAACGATGTGGAAGAAACTCAAATGATACCCAGCAAGGAAACAAACGCAAGCATCGTGAAATCAAACCACGAAGTATCCGTAGTCCCACGATTTTCAGGTGAGGAGGCATCCCATTCACCGGGGGATCCTCTTTCAAAATGGAGCAAAGTTCAGATGAGAAGTTGCTTCTTCAGATGAACAGGACAGGGACATGCCCCTCCCCCCTGGCGTTTGGGCAGAAAATACGACCGACTGTCGTTTCTACCCCCCCCCCCCCCCCAAATTGATCAAGTCATTTTTTGTCTAAATTTGAATTTTGTAAATCTTTGGACGATCTGCACAGCGGACAGCTGTCATGTCTGATGTCTCAAAGCCACTACTACCCTATGTACGGAGTACGCTGTACTGGCAAACGAGCCCAGGTCTTAAGCTCCGAACGACATGGCGTGTCTTTAGATGGCAGCGTAAGGATACATCATTGCATTTTCTCGGCATCTCGAATTGATGCCTAGGGATCAGTTCCCTTACGCCCATGCTTTCAATAACAAATACGTCGAGTCTGTATGCCGTACGTACACAAGAGTAGAATGCAAGGACAAAGCCAAAATGAGAGCAGGGGTGTGGGGAGGTTCCTTGGAGGTGACCTCATGTCGAAACCACCCGACCCAGCCCTCGCTCGGCGTCCCTCACATCTGGGAAATCTCGCATCTCACCAATCGTAAACTATGCGCTGCGCTGCAACCACCAAAACCAAGGCTCAGAGCCCTAGCGTCAAGCTCCGTCTAGACTGGCCAGACACTTCACGCCGCGATACACACACCTGCACGACTCCAAAGCGCTTGCGCTTATGCATCCATAGGTATATGCGTGTCTGCGGCACGTGTCGTATCTCTCCCTCATCCGCTTGCGCCTTCCCGCGCCTGTCGTCTAAGTAATCTGATGAGAATCTTACTTGACCCTCCTTGATGGGTTGCCATGGTGTAGGGTTCCAACCACTCAACTCTCACTCATGACCCTCCAAACCCACCCGCCCACGCATACTTACACACTTACATACACGAACGTGCATACACATACACAAGTGCGAGCGTCACATCACCACACACACATCATCCCCCTCCCCCCTCCTCAAGCCTGCGCATTCTTCACCGCAGGCAACTTTTGGCATCTTACTGTACGACACACCACCAAGGGCGGCAGCGGCAAGCGGCAAGCGGCAAACCCCACCACTAAGCACTCACTTCATCCCTCCCTCATTGGTATCATGTATGCTTACCGCCGCATTTTCCCCTAAGACACGGTCCAAAAAAGAAACACATGCAGCCCACACACCACCTGCACTTACACTCACAATCACCCATGTACGCTACCTTATACTCACCAAGAGAAAGAAGACGCGGGAAAGTCCCATGCAGAAACCAAAAATGTCCCAAAAAGACATGCGTAATCCACCAAGACATTGATCTCATATCCCCGACCTCCAGGAGGTAATCCCATGTGCTCCCCATCCCCTGCCCGTACGATGTTCATTTTTAGACCCCACAGCACATCTTCCCGGGTTTTGTGATCCGTGGTCCGTCATCTCACCGAGTAGCTTTCACCCCCCACAAAAATCCACGCCGGCTCACCTGTCTCACCAAATGACACTCAATTGCGGCTATTCCCCAACAAGCGCGGAACTTCGCTTATTTCGGCGCCTCACGCCCATGTCCATGCCCTTGGCACCCACGTACCCTGGACCATCTGCCGCGACGGGCGCCGCGCGCGCGCACAAGCTCGCTTGTTGGGCTTAGCTTGTCAACTTGTCCGTCGCCCATTTCCCCACTCCCCACCATCCGTTCGTTGCGGTGTTCGTCTGTTTAATTCAATTCTCCCCTTCCGTCCGTCTGTCTCTCCCTCCGCACGTCTAAAAATAAATCTATTCTTAGAACGGTACCTCCCATGCATTTCATCTGTCTCTGTCTGTCCGCTTCAGGATTTGGACCGGCACATCACTCCCCATGCCCGTGTTACCTGACTTTGCCGTTCCCGAATTCCCAGTCCCTTCCTTTCGGGACCAGACAGACACGACCCAAAGGAGACCCCACCATCCGCATCTGCGTACCCAGGTACGGTCCACGGATAGGTCTGTCCAAACTCACACGCCCTTCTTGGCGCAAGGCTTTCTTTCTAGGTACCCGTCAAATTCAAGGGTTTCCTCTTCCTCGTACTCTGTGCGGTACAGCTCAACCCATGGCAGATCTGACAGACACCATACTCCGTACCCATCCATGCATACGTCTCTTGCACTCCATTTCCCCCATTTGGACAACAGAACACACCACCCCCCTCCATTCCCGCTCAACACTGCTGCACTGCATCAACCCATCTCACCGGGAGTCTTTCCCACTCACCAGCCCACCACAACTTCACCACTGTCTCAGAATCCTTTTTCATGTTCTCGAGTCCCGACGAGTGGGAACTGCAGTCGAGGTACCCACCTACCCGTCCAAGATATCCATGTCATTTGGTTCCCGTTTTGTTTCCACCTTCTCCCAAACACCCTCCCCACCACCACCACCGCGCGCATTCCCATGATACCATGAAGCCCACGCAAAGGCCTCCCGCGGCACTCCATTCTCCTCCGTGCGTCCGGCAAAGAAAGCAGCCCCCCTCCCCGAAATCCCGTCAGCACCTTGAACCACCACCATGCCAATGGAAAAAACTCAGTTTCTTCGCGTCTCCCATATTTCCCATCCGCATACACCCACACACACACACGCCCCCCTGCTTTTGCACCATCACCCCCCATCGCAAGGCTGAGTTCTCGGCCGTCCAAACGAGGCTGGTCGTGGCCCCCAAAACAGATTTCCTTCTCCCTCGACCAATGGCGTGTAAGAGGCGGGCTCAACTGAGTGCTGATGCCTGCCTGCTGTTCCTTCGCCCGCCAGCCAGACCGTCCGTACCGCACATACCGAGGAGGGAGCAGCCGCCAACGACCGAGAGAGAGAGAGAGAGATCCTACTCGAAATAAAGTTCCCCACGGGTAGGATGGCATTGCATGGCCCGAACTCTTGTACCCGAGCATTTCCTTTCCCTCGGGGAGGAAATCCTTTCAATTCCATTCGTCTTCTTTTTTTATGAATTAAAGTCCCACCTTCTCGTCGAAAGATGATTCCCCTTTCAGTAAAGTGCAAACAACACGCCAAAGTCCGCAAATACTTTTCTCTCTCTCTCTCTCTCTCCCAGGTTGCAACGTCGCTAACAAAAACCCACTTTCCCGTAAACACTCCCCCCCCCGTGACAACCTCTGATTGGGGCCTATCTTGGGGTAACATGGCCCCGAATCTGCCTAACTTTGCAGGATCTTGACTCACAACGCTCCCCGAGCTACCTTCTACTGCGGACCATTTAATTATTTGCCACCTTTGATATCATTGCAAAGTCCTACGTGCCCTAAACAATGACGTGGGAAACGTGTTCACGATTGGAAAGTCTCTCAATTGTGTCCTTGGAAGCTCTTGGAACTTCTTTCCAGATTGTCTATATGTGATAATGTAGTCTCTCTAATACAACGATTCTCTGGCCAGATCGCCGTGCGTATCTGGCCCTCCAATTGCAACCAGCTCAATTCCTGCAGGGCGGGCAAAATTGCCATACCGTGTTTTTAACCAACCTCAGGAAGTTCCAGACAGCCCCGTGTAGTTTGGCAGTACAAGATAAAAATCTCCCTGAATGAGAAATGCCAATTGGTCGAATCTCAAAGAATCGAAATAAAATGATGTCTGGCATCAAAAGTTGTTTTGAGGTGAAGGAAGGCGTCATGACGCTCTTTTCTTCCTCGTTGCGGGCATTCCAGTTGCCCTTTTGTGTGTGTGTCTCTGCTGTCGACACCCGTCATTGGTTTTTTCCCCGTTGCTCCCAGAGCAACTCGTCTATCATCGGATGATGGTACAGATCATGTGAGAGAAGAAAGCAAGAGAGAAATCTTGGTAGAGAACAGAAGAAGAGTAAGTAGAGAGATTGAGAGAGAGAAAGCAACAATTCTGATATGCAACATTGGAAAGCAGAAAATGCAAGACAGAAAAAAACAAAAAACAATGCAACAACAAAAAACCTCGCTCACCCTGGTAATCTCGTCAACCATCGCATGCGCAGCGATGCGCTTGTATCTTTCCGAACCTGAACGCCTGGTTTCCTCCCGCCCGCCCGCCCGCCAAATGCATCGAAAACTCGTCCGTAAACTACACAAAGTTGAAAATGAGACCGTTGTCGAATGCCTGTAGAATCGAATCTTGCCGCCGCTGACTTGAAGAAAAAGTCCCCCTCTTGAAAACCAAAGCGTAAACCCAAAGTGATGCCCCGAAGGCAGAAAAGATGAGGTCCAGCCCAATTACAAGTTAGGCATCTCTTGTATGCATGTGTTCATCCCAACCGCCCAATGCAGAAAAGAAAAAACCCAGAACCAACGCTATGCATGTCCAATGTCGAAAGGGAAGGAAACCACATCTATTGAAAGAAGGAGGGGAAACCGAAATGGGAAAAGAGAAAAAGAAGGTTGGAAAGAGTTGAATGTCGAGAAGATTTCGAAGTTTGAGCGAGACCGGGGGGCGTGGACTTGGTGGAAGATGTCGTTTAATTGCAGCGCGCTGATGATGACTATTGATAGGCCGTAAAATGTTTCCGTCATGTTCGTGATCTCGTCTCTGTCTTCGATAACTTCGTTGCTGAACTTCATGGCAGGGCGTGATGGTGGAAATAGTTTGTTGGTGTTGGTGGTAAAATGACCGGAGTGGAGGGATCCGTATAAGCCATTGGCCGGAGAGTCATCGCACAGCGGGAGGCGCCGATGAAGACATCAAACGGTCATGGCCGACGAAGAGGAGAGATAGCTGCGAGGGTGGCAGCGTTTGAGAGGCCGACCTTCCTCTAAAGGAGTATAGGTAGGTAACCCAAGTGCCGAATTGGAAAAGCAACAGCTTGGGGGAACGCCATGAGCAGCAACCCATCACCGAAGACAAGACATTTCACCGGTAGTGGCGGGAGCCCTTGCTTGAATGGCTAGAGTGGTAACCAGAGTCGGAGTATGAGTATTGTGATGCGTACATGCTGTGTGATGAAGAGTGAGCATGGCAGGCGTATCCGACCAAAATTGTTCTGTTCTGGATGCTATGTCCTGGTCGGCCGTAGGCAGCGCATCTGTCAATGGCGTGCTGGTAGTAGAGGCAGCGGCATGCTGAGTAGAGCTCGACAAGTTGATAGCACATTGTGAACGTTATTCAGAAGTACGTTGAGTGACTGAAGTGATGTATGGTGTGAAGGACCGAGGAATTGATCCCTGAGATATGAGTCGGGGGAAAGGATGGCTTTATCTCTTGAGGAAGTTTGTGTGTTGTTGGTGTTTGGTTAGGGGGATATCGAGTTGAGGAATGATCAGAGAGACTGAAAGCTGCCAGGTATGCAGAGAAGCAAGGGGAACAAGGCAGAAATAGGAAATAGAAAAGGGAACCCAAGTGAGTGTGTTCGTGATGACTTATACTGGAGTAGACTAAGGATGGGGAGATGGAAAAGAGCGAAGGCATCACGACCTTATAGGCCTGGCAGCCTGGGAGGTCGTCACACGGGTAGGCAATTGGTAGATTGGTAGAGAGCCGTCTAAGGCAGCAGTGGGACCCTCTGGCAGTCGACAGTGGATGTCATCTGAGTGAGACCAATGACTAAGGCTGCATCTTGTGCATTAGAGCGGTATGCAGACCAGAGGTCTTGATGGCGCAGGGCAGGACCAGGGAAAGGTGCCTTGCACCTTTCCATCATGGCCTGGTAAGGCGCAGCAAGTAAAAAAGGTGTGAGAAGAGAAAGAGTGAGTGCGAGCAGAACGAAGAGGTGAGCAGGCGGAGAGGAGGGGTGAGCGGTGGAAAACGGGCTGGGGTGGAGGGGGGGTGAGAATGATGGTGGGCGTGCGTACTTGAGCGAACTAGACAGGGCACATCAACGAGAGCCAAGTGAGGTACGTTAGGTACGGACTAGGTACGGATACCTTCCTGTGTATTCGTAGATGTAGGTGTGCACAAGTGGAGGGGGGGCTGGCTCCGTTGGAGACTGGCGACGGGAGCCCTGAGGTAGGGGGAACGGGGGGGTCGGTCAAAAGAGTCATCTTCAGCATCCTTTCCAATCGAAACATCTCTCAAAATGGACACTGCCGGTCTGTCCCCATACTTTGGGTTGATGAGGTGCAGCAGGGCTGATGCGCGATGGGATGGAATGGGACGGGCATGGGTGGATGGTTGTACGAAAAGAAAAAGAATCGACGAATGCCAATTGGTCCCGTCCGCGGTGTTGTACTCTGGAAGACGATATGGAAATGCAGTCGTGGTGCATGGTTGGTGAGCCATCTCTTTTTCTCCCCTTGCGCCCAGAAACATTTCTGGAAACACAAATGCGCATCGCCGCATGTTGCTTAAGTTGTCGCATATCGCATGTCGTGTGCTGCCGACTGCTGCCAGGTACTCCCTTCACCCCGAGCTAAGGTAAGGAAGGTAGCCTCTCTTTGCTGACGATGATGCTGCTCATCCGATCCAGCCATGACTGCCGCTGCCGCCTCGTGCTGTGGTTGCGCTTAATGGGCGAAATAGAGACCCCCAATTGTCTATTATCGTTTTGGTGGCACTGACTTCGACATCAGCACCAGCACCAGCTCTAGGCAGCGCATGGCACCAACGGCCCCAAGATAGCTCCATTGTCTTGGACCGCAGGGCTGACTCTATGTCGCTGCACCGAGGTTCGTTACGCCTAGCCGTTTGTGATGCGGCGATCTTTTTGCGTTGCCCGGTGCTGCCGCCACGCAAATTCCTTCCACGAGGAGCAATAAGGTGTGGTGGTGGTGCTGTACTCCCCGTTGACCGATATCCTTTCCGAGGTTCCAAATCGATCGGGTGTGAATTCGATCTCGAATTATCCTCTGTATTTCGATTTTCGATTGCTCGTCTGGCATACACGCTAACGGGGGGCAGGCACCACTCGGTCGGAGCTTGGCCTCTTAGCCTACGGCTGCCATTGCTAAAAGAAGAACATGCCGGTCAGAGGTTCGCGAGCTGCCCCATAGAATTTGTCCTCCAAGTATGTACACATTGGTGACCGCAAAGGGCTGCCGATTGACTGAAAGTGCATTTGCTATGTATGACGAGACTTGGCCCTCCAATTTCGCTGGCATGTCATCAAGGTTGATATGAGGCCTAGTGTTGATCTGGCGCCCGATAGCTTCGATTGCGCTCTGAGGCCCGCCATGTTCATCGTCGAGAGTAAGCAGGGGGAGTTGTTCTGCCACGATGCAGCGTGGTTGGTCGCAGCACGACAGAAAAGGGACATGATCCACGCGTCAGGTACCGATGGACGTCGTACATATCTTTTGCTGTGATGGGCTGGCATGCGAGCGACCGGTTCGGATCTCCATCGTGGTTGAAGGAGGTCACCCTGGTACTCGTAGCGTCCAAGCTGGATTCTGAGTGGACAGTAACCGCAGCCTGCCTTGAGGTACGAATAAGTAGGCTCAGGGTTGACGCATGGAGCAGACCGAAATGGAAGCAGTTGTCTCCATCCAATTGCCGAATATAGCTTGACCATAATAGGTTCAAATGGCAAGCTCGTTTGCACGGGTCAGTACCTTATGTTGATAAAGGTCGGCATGGATGACACTCGTGCTGACTGTCAGGAAAGAATAGCCATATGTCGAGGTAAGGTGAGATGTCCGTTATCATCGACCAAGTAACTCGACGCCCCAGCTAGGCGATCGTATACAAACAACTGTTCGTTGTGCTATTATACCGGGATAAGGCTGTGCAATGGTGCATGCAGGCCATCCACCAGAGGTTCCACCATACTGTGGTGGCTGTCTTGGTAGTGCCTATTGGCCACAGTACGTTCCGAATTGGTGCTGGTGCTGACCATGGCCGGGAGCTTCTGCATGCGAAGGTTCCATGCTCTTCCCAGTTATCGGGAGGATGGTCAGATCAAACGCGCTTAGTATCATGCCGTCATTGGAGGCCATGTCGAGATCAGACCCGGGCACCTGGTGAGAGAGACTCGGGCGGCCTTCTTGGATCGCAGGGTACCTGGTGATGGCTGAAAATGAGATGCGATGTGATGCCAGGGGCAGCGGATCCCAGTCCTCCATGATCCATGGACGAGGGAGCTTGGATGAGCATCTCCCAGTCCCGCAGAGTAGGTACACTAGAGTGGGCGAAAGGGAGGTAGGTAATCCAATGTGGACTATGTCTTGGATGCAACGGCTTCCGTCAATCCCCGTACACCGGCCAATGCAAGTCTCAAGGGGGACGAGCTGCCATTCGACCGATGCGAAGGCATGTTTGAGACTTTGATCGACGGGTCCTTCCCTCCAAATCCAAGGCTCCGGTATTGGCCCGTGAACCTGTCAACGGCACGGCTGGTGAGAAGAGGGCGAATGATTGCAGACAATCCTATGAGAGCCCCGGGTTAGCAGCCCGTCCTTTTGGTTCATCGCCTTGGCCGTGGAAAGACATGTAGACTGCTGGTTTCAAGGTCTGCAAGGCTTGTAGATGGAAAGCAGCAGTAGCACCACCACCACCACCACCACCGGCCTCACTATGCATGATTTCGCCGAGTCCTTCTGGAATTTCGAAAGCAGGCATCGGTGTGCAATTGGAGTGGCTGCAGTTATTTGCTAGTGTGTGGTTGATATCCGCAGATATGTGTAATAGGTAGGTATCAGACTAGACGCGGCAGAGTGAGGGAGCCTGTAACGGCGTTGACGAACAGTTGACGATAGCAATGCAGCTAGATCCCAAAAAACTTGCATGAGGGCTGTCGGTCAACGCAGGCACAGGATGCAGGTCAGCGGACGGATTTGGCGTCATGTCAGGTGTGTGTATCCTTCGCTACATGGTGATGTTAAGGGTGGTCGTTGAGACAGAAGAAGAGCGTCAGAGGTGCAGTACAGAAGCTAAGCCGATGACAGTGAGGTCATAGGTAGAGCAAAACGATTTCTAAGGTAGGACTCCAGACTTCAGAGACAGAGAGAAAGAGAGAGGGAGAAAGGCAGGCCCATGGGGGTCTAGGCCAAGGACTCCTGCTGCCCTGGGCTGCTGCATGGGACATGCTTGAGTCCGAACTCCAGGGTCTGGGAAAGGATGGATCGTGTGGTCAAAAGAATGGAAGGTATGGACCATCTGAAGTACGTATCTGTACCCAGCAAGGTACCTTACCTAGTGGTGGAGGAAGGTGAGGTCCACGGGTGGTGAAGGAAACGGGCAAGAGGTATGAGGGTGTGCTGCCTGGGATGCCTGGGCGAGCGACGATGCAATGGGAAGGAACATGGGGATGCAGGTTTGCCAAAAAGGGCAAGTTCGTGTGCTTGATTACGAAAGCTTGCGCCCGCCAAGCCCTTCCAATTCGCCCATTTGACTGGTGCGCACAGGCAATGGCAGGCATGGTCCTCACGTGCTCGTCTCCACTGGCCTTCCCTGCCCTCCCTGCCTCCCGGGCTCCGTTCAGGTGACAGACCGCTTCCGTGGGAGGTTCACTAGCGACGTACTTCTGGGTAGGGATTCTTGACTGTCGTCCATACACATTCGAGAGAAATGCACCAATTTCAGCATTTTTTACAATTCGTCCATGTGCTGCAACTTGAACTAGGATTTGTCACTGGCGACTCCGAGACGATGCGTCACAACTTCATATCCTATGACAAGACGACGGCTTTGGTTGTAACGCGGGTCTCATTGCATCGCCCGTCAGTCGTCACCTCTATTGCCCTGCCCACCATCTGCCCTCTCGCTATTTGGCCTCAATGCTGATAGCCGGCTAGTTAACACGAAGAACGGGATTCGGAGGACGGTCCGCCGTCAAACATGGCCGTCTTACACGATACCTTGGTTCAGGGTCCGGCTCGCTAGACCGCACGCTTGCCTAGAGAGTACACGAACTCGGCCCCTCCAAACACTCTACTAGGTACACTTCTCTACTGCTGGCCCTTGGGAAGATAGCCCTTCGACTGGCTGTTGATTGAGGCGCTTCAGGGACAGATCCAGGAATCCGTAAAGATGAGAAAGCACAATTGAATTCGGCGGAGCATCAGAGTAGTCGACCAACCAATTGATCGCAATTCACAGCATTGTGGTGCTCGATGCACGACCAACTCAGGCACTCCACTGTCGCACTGGGGCCGATGCATCTCGTGCAAGACGGGCCCGATACAAGACCTGCGTCAAAGTCCTGCAGCCCACTACCGCAGACCGTACGAAGTACCGCAAAATGCCAGAAATAAGATACATCAAGACGATACGAGGCATTTGTGTAACCCCAACCCTAGGCTTTTAACTCTCGACTCTCGAGCCCATAGAGCCCCCCCAAGTGCTAAAGATTCTAGTGTCGCCTATAGCAGCCTGCGCTCACCGAAAGCCCCAAATCCGGCTCACCAAGCATGTCTTCGCCCGGTCAAGGGTCGCGACCCGGGCGTCACGTCCTCAACGGTCGAATTGCCGCGCAATCACGAATGCGCGTCTTTCGGTGCCCGATGGCGAACGGTCCGATGCTACATCTATCCCGTGGCTTGCCACTCCGAGCGCCCGGCGGGTAGGCCCATCTTGGGGACCGGGCGGAGAGGTGGAGGATGCAGCATTAGGAACCCCGCCGGTCGGGGTTATGCCAATCGAAGAACACTCTCGATCCCCTCATCCCCATACGAATACCACGTCCGACATTCATGACCGGACTTGGTTGTGTTGTTACCTTGTTCTATTAGCAGCGGCACGGAGTAATTACCTCGGACGAAAGCTGCAATGATACGTCGACCGATATCACTTTCTCTATACCCAAATCTGCGGGATAATCAACCTCTTCGCGTCTGCGTATCTGCAGAATCGTCGAGCAAATCCAAGGAAAGAATCGGACCATCATTATGCACTTCAAATGACTCTATCTCGCTGTGACTGCTTCTACTACGGTATCAGGCCAAAGTTTAACCCCCTTGTCAGGTATCTTCGCCCGTGCTTTTCGAGATTACATCAGCAGCATTACTTTCGAGATTCTTGTGCACGTCGAACACAAATTTGGCCATTGAGAGTCACTGCTCTACCCTGGCCAGACCCACGCTACCTGGTAGGGAGTTTAAACTTACCCCTACTACGGTATCAGGCCAAAGTTTAACCCCCTTGTCAGGTACCGGTGGGGATGGCCCGTGCCTGCCTTCTATGGGCAATTCGACCAATCAGAAGCCACTATTTCAGCACAGGCCTACTAATTAGCCCAGCCTAACTTTTTTACTAATTACGAATTCTTCTTCTTATATACTACCTACCTACCTACTTACCTTACTTTTAATAAATTATTATAAATATAGTACGGCTAGTAAGTAGTATAACGAAGTACTTTATTAAGGCCGACTATTAGTAAATTTATATACTATATATTAATATAA